GTCTTACACCTTTCAATCCCATTTTTCATGAACTTTTGGAAGGAACCCTCACCCCGCCACGTGCTCTAAACTGTTTCCCTCAGTGGCTTTGGTGTGTTCATCTCACGAAAAGATCCGATGTGATTATTAGGTTAGCCTGAGGCATCTCAGTACAAAAAAAAGCCTTAGGAGATCTTTGATACTAGGATCTTCTGTAACCATTTTTTTATTTTTTTACAGGCAGAGTTAGAGAGAAAGGTCTTCCTTTTTCCATTATTTCACCCCCCAAGTGGCTGCTATGGCCAGCCCGCTGCGCTGATCTGAAGCCAGGAGCCAGGTGCTTCCTCCTGGTCTCCCATGCGGGTGCAGGGCCCCAAGCACCTGGGCCATCCTCCACTGCCTTCCCGGGCCACAGCAGAGAGCTGTACTGGAAGAGGAGCAACCAGGACAGAATCCGGTGCCCCAACCGGGACTAGAACCCTGGGTGCCGGCGCCGCAGGTGGAGGATTAGTCTAGTGAGCCGTGGCACCGGCCCCTGTAACCTTTTTTTATTTGTCTAAGAGTTCTAAGGCTGACTCTGAAGGAGAGGAAATAGTGCTAGGGATCTCTCAAAGAGTCGCTTGCTGGTGAAACCCATTTCATCCTGTGTGGAGCACTGTGCTGGTTTGCTAATGCTGGAAGCTCAGAATGTTGTTGAATTCTGTTGGAAATCTAGCTTAGTGTAAACTTGGCCTCACAGTTTTGCCAGAATAAAAGCATAGGCTATCTGGTTCTTCGTAAGTCTCATATACTTCTTGATTGTTTTCTTACACCCCCTTGTAGGCATTATGTCGAGCAGAAGATGAAGAGGATATCCGTGCTGCCACCCAGGCCAAGGCTGAGCAGGTGGCTGAGCTGGCAGAATTTAATGAGAATGACGGATTTCCTGCTGGTGAGGGCGAGGAGGCCAGTCGGCCCGGGGCTGAGGATGAAGAGATGTCTCGGGCTGAACAGGAGATTGCTGCCCTTGTTGAACAGGTCAGTGTTGGACCGGGAGTTCTCCACCTCACCCTTCAGAGCTCCTGCTGGGCTTGTGACCCTCCTTCTGTCGGGGGTGATGGGGCTCAGGGCATCAAGTCCCTGAGTTTATCTCTGCTGCTCTGTCCTGCAGCTGACCCCCATTGAGCGCTATGCCATGAAATTCCTGGAAGCATCCCTGGAGGAGGTGAGCCGAGAAGAACTCAAGCAGGCAGAAGTGAGTATTTTTTCGGGGGTGGAACTAGCAGTGGAAAGCTGCGAATTTCTCCTCACTCCGTGCTCTGCTGGCTTCCCTCTGACCACCCTTGGGCTCTGTTGTTGGTAGGAGCAAGTGGAAGCTGCCCGCAAAGACCTGGACCAAGCCAAGGAGGAGGTGTTCCGCCTACCCCAAGAGGAGGAGGAGGGGCCAGGGGCTGGGGATGATATTTCCTGTGGGACTGGTGGAGGCAGCCACCGGCGCAGTAAGAAGGCCAAGGCCCCTGAGAGGCCGGGAACTCGTGTCAGTGAACGTCTTCGTGGAGCCCGGGCTGAGACTCAAGGGGCAAACCACACTCCTGTCACATCCACCCATCAAACCCGCAGCACGCCCACACCCCCCTGCTCCAGCCCTGCCAGGGAGCGCGTTCCCAGGCCAGCACCCAGGCCTCGACCCACTCCAGCTTCAGCTCCTGTTGCAATTCCTACCCCGATCCCCGTCCCAGTCTCTGTCCCAATACCTATTTCAGCCCCAAATCCAGTAACCATTCTTCCTGTCCATATCTTACCTTCTCCCCCACCTCCTCCTGCACAGATTCCTCCCTCCTGTTCTTCTCCTGCCTGTACCCCTCCTCCTGCCTGTACTCCCCCGCCAGCTCATTCCCCCCCACCAGTCCAAACTTCTCTCTTAATTCCTTCCTCTCCTCTCCTGCTTGGTCCCCCTTCCAGACCCCTTTCTCCCCCAGTTTCTAACCTCACCTTGGCTTTGGGGCCTGAGGCAGAACTGTGTGCACAGACGTTGGCATCTGCAGAGGCCGAGGAGCTGGGTGGCTCGACCAGTTCTGAGACTGCCCAGCTTGCGCCCGGGCCCCCAGCGGATCTGTTGCCAGCTGCTGTCGAGATCCCGCCTGTTTCAGAGAAGAACCCTTCCCTCACCGCTTGTGCACCTAGCCCAACCCTGGAGGCTGGCAGCGTCCCCAATGGTCAGGAGCGGGAGGTCCCAGAGCCTGCCCAGGAGCCCGTCCTCACAGTGCTGCCCGATGCTGAGGAGTTGTCGGCGTGTTTGAGTGAGAGCAATGGACTTGAACTCCCACCCGCAGCAGCGTGTGATGAGCCGCTTCAGGAGCCGTTAGACGCAGACAGGAACTCGGAAGAGCTGGTGGACTCCCAGACGCCAACCTCCACCCCGGAAAAGCCACAGGAGCTTGTCACAGCTGAGGCTACAGCCCCGTCAACCTCATCTTCAGCCACCTCCTCACCCGAGAGCCCTTCACCTGCCCGCCCCCCGCGGCGGCGCACCAGTGCTGATGTAGAAATTAGGGGCCAGGGGGCTGGTAGACCAGGGCAGCCTCCAGGCCCCAAAGTGCTTCGGAAGCTGCCAGGACGGCTGGTGACCGTGGTGGAGGAGAAGGAACTGGTGAGACGACGGCGACAGCAGCGGGGAGCCTCTAGCACCCTCGTGCCTGGTGTGTCTGAGACCAGTGCCAGCCCAGGAAGCCCGTCCGCCCGCAGCGTGTCAGGGCCAGAGTCCTCGCCGCCCACCAGCGGGGCCTGTGAAGCTGCTCCCTCGTCCTCACTGCCCACCCCACCCCAGCAGCCCTTCATAGCTCGTCGTCGCATTGAGCTGGGGGTGGCAGGTGGGGGCAGCCCGGAGAACGGAGAAGGGGCACTGCTCGCCATCACCCCACCTGCTGTGAAACGGCGGCGGGGGAGGCCCCCCAAGAAGAACAGGTCTCCAGCAGATTCCGGGAGAGGAGTGGATGAGGCGCTCTCCTCCACTTCGAAGGGAAAAGCCAATGGGGCCGATCCCATCCCTGGGGCCGAGACCCTGATTGTTGCGGAGCCTGTCCTGGGGCCCCAGCTTCTTCCTGGGTCCCAGCCTCTTGGACCCCAGCCGGTTCACAGACCTGAGCCCCTCATCCTGTCACCTGTGGAGAAAAGAAGGCGTGGGCGGCCCCCTAAGGCTCGAGATTTGCCCATCCCTGGGACCATTTCCTCTCCGGGGGATGGCAGCTTAGAGAGCCGGACACAGCCACTCCCGCTACCACCACCCCTGCCACCACTCCCCCCACTGCTAGCCTGTTCCACTGCTACTGTCACCAACACTGTCACCACTGTCACCGTTTCAACATCCCCACCCAAGCGGAAGCGGGGCCGACCTCCCAAGAACCCACCGTCACCTCGGCCCAGCCAGCTCCCTGTCTTGGACCGTGACAGCGCCTCTGTGCTCGAAGGCTGTGGCGGGGGGAGGCAGCGGCAGCCCCAGGGCCAGGGGGAGAGTGAGGGTAGTTCATCTGACGAAGATGGAAGCCGCCCTCTCACCCGCCTGGCTCGCCTGCGGCTCGAAGCGGAGGGAACGCGGGGACGGAAGAGTGAAGGGTCCATGGTGGTGGCCGTGATTCAGGATGACCTGGACTCAGCAGATAGTGGGCCAGGCGGGTTAGAATTGACACCTCCTGTGGTCTCAGTACCCCCAAAACTGCGTTCAACCCGGCTGCGTCCAGGGTCTCTAGTTCCCCCACTGGAGACTGAGAAGGTGCCTCGCAAACGAGCCGGGGCTCCAATTGGTGGAGGCCCTGGGCTGGCAAAGCGGGGCCGCCTACAGCCCCCAAGTCCCCTAGGGCCTGAGGGTTCAGTGGAGGAATCTGAGGCTGAAGCCTCTGGTGAGGAGGAAGAAGGGGATGGGACCCCACGCCGCCGGCCTGGCCCCCGCAGGCTCGTTGGGACCACCAACCAAGGGGACCAGCGCATCCTGCGCAGCAGTGCCCCTCCCCTCTTGGCTGGCCCTACTGTTAGTCACAGAGGCCGCAAGGCCAAGACGTGAGTGGGCTGCCCCTCCACCTTGGCTCGCTGACGTGGGCGCGCTCCCTCCATGACCAGGCCTGACTCTGTTAACCACTACTTGAAGTCTTGAGGGGGAAAGCCTCCAAGGAGACATAGGGGCCTTCTCCCTTCTTCCCACCCTAGTAGGGAGAAGGCAACTGGTTGTCATGGAGATGGGGCTCATCGCAATCCCCCTCCCCTTCCACCCCACATGGCTGGGCAGTGTTAAGGGTGGCAAGATAGTCTCTGTCCCCACCCCCTTGTACTTGATTCCCCAGCTGTCCTTCACAGCCCCCACCCTTAGTGAAAAGGAGAGGGGCTTCTCTACAATGAGTTTTTTTTTCTTTTTTCTTTTTTTTTTTTTTTTTAAGAAGAAAAAAAAATAATAAACTTAGTTTCTGTACGAGCATCCGCGTAAGGAGGCTTCTGATTTTCTGGTCTGGTGGAGGTTGGGTGGGCACTTGGGCAGTGGTTTTCTCCCCCTCTGAAAGACTGTAGGACTCAGTCTAACCCCGGATCATCTGCCTTTGCGGTACCAACGACCCAGTAAGAGGAAAGATTGCTAATCTGAAGCAGTAGGATGCCTTTCCCTGTGTGTTGAGATCACTCAGGCATAGCCTGTCCTCAGCCTCCCTGCAGTGCCCCTGGACCCTGGGCTTTCCCAGAGGCCTCAGACTTCCTGCCTGTTGACCGTCTGGCCCAGGTGTTTCCTTTCACGGGTGTTTCCAGAAAGCAGGCCGCCCACCTCTAGTTGCTCCATCCCTTGGCTCTCCCCTGCTCTCCATCTAGCCCAACTGGTTTGAGTCAGCCACACCCCTTGCCCAGTTCCTCGGGCTCTTCAGATGGTGGCTGGCCACCCAGCCCCACCCCTGGGCTTGGCTTGGAGCCCTGAGTCAGCTCCATCTCCACCCAAGCCAAATCAAACCCGAGGCAGGAGCCGAAACTCTCAGTCCCTCAAGGCCTGTAGCCAGGTAAGAGCCCTGTTCCTGTTTGCGTTTTCCTGCCTCCACCCCCTGGGCCCTCTCCTGCTCTCCCCTTACTGACTGCGTTCGTGTTCACCTGGCCTTAGTTCTGGCCCGCACCCTCTCCCCTGCAGCCTGTGGCACCCGTCACTGCTCAGCTTGTCCTGCCTGTCACCCTTTCTGTCTTCTGGTACTTGTATACAGGGAACCACGGGTGTTTCCTTTTTGTCGAGGCTGTATAGAGAAACAGTTGAAGATGAGGGTAAAGTTGGTGATGCCAGCAGTAGAGGGTGTGAGAAACGGCGTCACCACGCAGGTTTCTGTGTGAATGATGAGGTCATCTGGACTCCCGTCTTAATCTGATGGTGCTGTGTGGCTTGGCTTGGAACGGAAAGAGGAGGGGCCGGGCAGGCAGCATAGCCGAGGCAGCTCTGCTTGAGGAAGTAAGGTCTGTGATGTTCAAGTGCTTCAGCCGTCAGAAAGGGCTTCTTAGGTGGGTGCTTTTCTTTAGAAGCTCTGCTTTAAGTGGGGGAGCAGGACCCAGGGCCCTGTTCTCTGTTCCCTCTGTGCTCTCGGGCTACCTCCCAGGGCCTTAGAAATTGAGTTTATAATCACTTAGTCCCAGGTTCATAGCAACTCTCCAGATCGCGTGTGTCCCTCCTGGTGCACAGTGTGAACCTGTCATTTTGCTTCTCTCCACTTGTCGAAACAGCAGTGCAGATACGCTGTGTTCACACTAGCTTTCCTTCAAAGACTCAGCAAGCTGAGCAAAAGGGACTCTAGTCACAGTTCCGTCCTGGGCTGTGACTCACCCCGAGGACTTCCCCAGGAGGGCGGCATTCCTGAGAGTTGGGTGAGGCTGCAGCGACCCGCGTGCTCTGAGAGGGGTGGGGTCTGAGCAGGCCAGGCCGAGGGCTCGGTTACTGGAATCACAAGTACCTTGACTATCGCCCACAGGTGATGGAGGACGAGGAGAAGGCAGCGGAGAGCTTGGTGAGCACCATGGAAGCTGCTCATTCTCCATCTCCCATCCGCTGCTGCTGGCTCCGCCTCCGCTACCTGGCAGCTGCTAGCATTATCTGTGGCTGCTCTTGCCTGGGAGTCATGGCTCTTGTGTTTGCCATCAAGGTGAGGAATGCAATTCCTGTGGGCACAAGGCGGGTGGGTGCAAGGCCGTGGTTTTGTGTCTATGATCCATCTGCTGACAAACGGGTACAAGTACCTGTCAGGGAGGGTTTGGGTCTAGGCCTAGTGCCAGAATAAAATACTTCTCCCGCCTGTCAGAGGACCGACAGACAGCAGTCCAACAGAGCCATCACAGAGGCAGCATAGGGCGCTCAGAGCCAGGAAGGAGGTTGTGTGAGATGACACACAAAGGAACTTCAGTCAGTTCATGGAAAACGGGAATACAGGGTAAAACTTCAGCAAGCACGTGGCCCGGCAGTTAAATCCGTGCTTGGGTTACCCACGTGCCGTATGGGAGTGTCTAGTTCAGGTTCTGGTTCTGATGAATGCACTTCCTGTCCATCCTGCTGCTAATACCCATCCTGGAAGCATAAGTAATGGCTGAAGTACTTGGGTCCCCTGTCACCCAGATGCGACACCCGGGTTGAGTTCTGGGATCCTGGCTTCAGTCTGGCCTAGCCATCGTTGTCTGTGGGGAGTGAACCAGTGTATGGAAGATCTCCAACTCTTTGTCTCTCTCCTTTCAAAAAAAAATAAAAACAATTTAGTGTATCTTATTTTAAAAAAGATGCTTGTTTTAGCGCAAAAAAAAAAAATCTGAAATCCATGCATAAGACAAATCTTGAGAAAGTTAATGAAAAATGGGAGTTGTGAGGAAACTTCATAGATTTCAAAATCTTTTTGCACCAAAATAAGCATCTTTTAATTCTGCTTTTCACAAAATGGAGTAGCCTACTGGAAAGCCCCCTCGGGAAGGTGGCGGGATGCGTGCCGGAGGGTGGGAAGGCATTCCAGGGGGAGGGGCAGAGAGAGGAGGCTGGGGACCGAGATTCCCAGGCGCCCTCAGTTCAGTGCAGAGGCGTTTTGACTCTCCTCTTGAATACTGGGGAGCCATGGACAGGGTTTTGTAGGGAGAGTGGTGTGCTCGGATTTGTGTTTCAGAAAGACCCACTGTGCCTACCTGGAGGGTGGGCTGGAAGGGGCAGGGCTGGAGGCAGCTGAGCACTGATGGGAGTAGTGTCTGAGCCTAAAAGAGGCTGTGGGGTCTTGGAGGGGGCTTCACCACTTCAGAAGACATGCATCTTTTAAAAGGTACACAGACTAATTTCGCTTTAGGTTTCTTTGATTTTTATTTATTTGGAAGGCAGAGTAACATCTTCCATCTGCAGCAGGATGTCCTGGGTCAGGCTGCGGCCAGGAGCCTGGAACTCCCTCCAGGTCTTCCACGTGGGTAGCAGGGAGCCAAGTACTTGACCCATCAGCACCTGTGCCACCCAGGATGTACATTAGCAGGAAGCTGGAATCAGATGTGGAGCTGGTACCTTTTTTTTTTTTTTTAAGATTTATTTATTTATTTGAAAGAGTTACACAGAGAGAGAAGGAGAGGCAGAGAGAGAGAGAGAGAGGTCTTCTATCCACTAGTTCAGTCCCCAGTTGGCTGCAACGGCCAGAGCTGTGCCAATCCGAAGCCAAGAGCCGGGAGGATCTTCCAGGTCTCCCCCGTGGGCCATCTTCTATGGCTTTCCCAGGCCATAGCAGAGAGCTGGATCAGAATTGGAGCAGCTGGGATTAGAACCGGTGCCCATATGGGATGCCGGCACTATACCACAGTGCCGGCCCTAGGTGCTGGTACTTTGAACCGAGGCACTCCAACACGGGATGCAGGTGTCCCAAGTGTGTCAGCTGCTAGGCCAGGTGCTGGCCCCCAACAGGCTGACTTAAGCATCACATTAGAATCTCCTCAACCCTGGGTGGACAGGGTTCCTAACACCGGAAGAACGCTGGGTTTCATTAAGGAAATATTAAAAGGTTGGATCCTTAATGACAGTGAAAAGATGCGGCCGTTGGGCTGAGAATGGGTGCTGCCTGCCCACGTGAGTGAAATGTCACAGCTTACTGTTTCTTGCTGAGAATCCCAGCTTCAGACTGGCCCTGGGCTGAGTAGGAAAGAACGAGGAACAAAAGGACTGGGAAGTGCTTTCCTGTATTTGATCCTGTAAGGGGACTGTGGCCCCCCTGACCGGCGATGGGGGAGGCAGAGGGTTTCGGGGTGAAGTTTCAAGCTATGACAGGAATGGGGGCGTGGAGTGGGACAGTGGGGCAGAAGCAGGAGGAGAAGCTAACCAAGAACCTGCCCCCACAGGCAGAAGAGCGGCATAAGGCAGGCCGGCCCGAGGAGGCGGCCCCCTGGGGGGCTCGGGCCCGGAGGCTCATCCTGGCCAGCTTCACTGTCTGGCTTGCTGTCCTCATTCTGGCCCCTCTGCTGCTGTGGCTGCTCTCCTACGCCATCGCTCAGGCTGAATGACTTCCTGGATCCTCCAGTGCGGCACTGCTGAGGTCCGGGGACAGCAGTGGTCCTTCCTGCTTGGGAAGATGGTACCTGGATGAAGGGCACCCTTCTAAAAGTTGGGCACCTCGCTGAGCCCCTTGAGGCAAGGTCAGCGAGCCCTGCCACCTTCCGTCTCTGACCCTACCCCACCCTAGAGGCATTCACTGGAAAGGGCATGAAGACCAGGCCTGATTTTATTAGAATTTGTTTTTTAATAAAAACCTTTTTTTAGTGGTGAAATACTCCTGTCTAATTGTCCTTCCCTGCTTTCCCCGGACCCTTGATGAGAGCCAGGGTCAGCTGACTGATGGCAGGAGCCAGCATCTTGCTTCACCTAGGGGCGCCAAGAGAAGGAAACAGTTGTGGTTTCTTTTTTTCCCTGGAAATGTCCATTCTTGGAAAGACCCCCAGCTTCTCCCTTATACAACAAGAAACCCTGAGGCCATAAAGGAAGAGTAGAAGCAGCTACTCTTTATTGAGCACTTACTGTCTCCAGGCTGTGTTCTGTTTAACTCCCTTCAGTCCTCAGAATGTTGCTCTAGCAGGCATCGCTGTTCCGTTCCGTAGTTGGAAGCAGGTACACATCTGTCCAAGGCTGCTCAGCTAGGGGGTGGCAGAGCTGAGTGGTGAGGAGACGGGGTGATAGCGGCAGCCACTCTACACACGGGGACTGGTGTGATTATAATGACCTTTCCTACCATGGTCACACTTTAAACATTGAAAACTTTTTGAATTTTATGACCCAGGAAGGTACCCAAAACAAGTGTACCTCTCAATAAAGGAACACAAAGCAAACATCTGGATAACCACCATTCAGCCAAGAAACGGAACATGGTCAGGACTCCAAAACCGGCCTTACACCCCTCCCAACCACCACCCCTCCTCTCTTCCCTTAGGTAACTGCCGGGCTGACTTCTACCAATGTAGTTTAATTTTGCCTGCATTTTAACTTCATATAAGTAGAATCATACGTATTCTTTGGATGTCTGGCTTCTTAACATTGTGAGATTCACTGATGTATAGCTATAGTTTTCATTGCTTTGTAGTATTCCATTATATGAATACCTATATAATTTATCTGTTTTCTTTCTGTTGGTGGGCTTTGGGGATTTTCCAGTTTGGGGAAATTATGAATTATTCTGCCATGGGCTTTCATGCTCGTCCCTCTTGGAGTCCACGAGCCCCAGGAATAGAGTTTTTCGATTACTTTACCCTAATTCAGAGGCCAGCAAAGCAGCTAAAAACGATCAGTGATGTTGTGCCCTGAAGGGGGGAGGAAGTGCTGCAGATAGGGAAAGTGGAGAGAACCCCTTGGTGGCCCCAGAGTTAAATTCCAGCTGTGTGGGTCACAGCCACGCACATCACAGTGGCTCTCAACCTCGGCTTCACGCCGGAGCCTCCTGGGGAGCCTGACACGGTGCTCACGGGTTTCACCCCCCGAGATGCTCATTTGATGGGGCATGGGGACTTCTTGGGAGTTCCCAGTCAATGCCAGTGCACAGCTTTGAGAGCCGCTGCTCTTTAGTTAATACTCTATTGAATTCCTGCTAGTGATTCTCAGATCAGAAGAAAGGGTAACACACATGTTAGAGAGGTGCTTTTGGGGAACTTGATTCTTGAGTGAATGCTTGACTTAATCAGTTTCAGTTTACTGAAAGCATATCCCTGTCCCCCAGACGGGTTATGTGAAGTCCTGCTGTTTTTTCAATACTATTTTTAAGATTTATTTACCTATTTGAAAGGCAGAGATGTCTTCCATTTGCTAATTCACACTCCCCAAATGCCTGCAGCAGCTAGCCTGGGCCAGGCAGGAGCCAGGAGCCAGGAACTCCATTTCAGTTTCCCATGTGGGTGGCAGGGACCCAAGCACTAGGGGCCATTGTTTGCTGGCTCCCAGGCACATTGTCAGGAACTTGAATCAGAAGTGGAGGAACCAAGGCCGGCGCCGCGGCTCACTAGGCTAATCCTCCGCCTAGCGGCGCCGGCACACCGGGTTCTAATCCCGGTCGGGGCGCCGGATTCTGTCCCGGTTGCCCCTCTTCCAGGCCAGCCCTCTGCTGTGGCCAGGGAGTGCAGTGGAGGATGGCCCAGGTGCTTGGGCCCTGCATCCCATGGGAGACCAGGAAAAGCACCTGGCTCCTGGCTCCTGCCATCGGATCAGCGCGGTGTGCCGGCCGCAGCGGCCATTGGAGGGTGAACCAACGGCAATGGAAGACCTTTCTCTCTGTCTCTCTCTCTCTCTCTCATTGTCCACTCTGCCTGTAAAAAAAAAAAAAAAAAAAAGAAGTGGAGGAACCGGGACTGGAACAGGCACTCGCATGTGGGATGTGCTGTGCCACAACACCTCCTCTTTATTTGGAAAACATTTCAGAACAATAACAGAATAACAAACTCCTGCATCCCCTTCACCTAATCATTTTTAACATTTCACATTTGCTTTATTGCTGAACCATTTGATACATGTCCTTCATGTCAATAATTGCATGAACTATCTCCTAAACACAAGTACATTCACATAACTATAATACAATTATATAATTCAGAGAAGTTAACATCAATATAATATAATAAAACATTTAGGGGCCAGTGCTGTGGTGTAGCAGGTAAAGCCGCCGCCTGCAGTGCCAGCATCCCATTTGGCTGCTGGTTCACTTCCTGGCTGCTCCACTTCTGATCCGACTCTCTGCTATGGCCTGGGAAAGCAGTAGAAGATGGCCCAAGTCCTTGGGTCCCTACACCTGCATGGGAGACCCAGAAGAAGCTCCTGGCTCCTGGCTCCTGGCTTCAGATTGGCCCAGCTCTGGCCATTGTGGCTATTTGGGGAGTGATGGAAGATCTCTCTCTCTCATTTCTCTCTCTCTGCCTTTCAAATAAATAAATAAGACTTAAAAAAAAAAAAAAAAAACTTTCTGCACCAAAACAAACACTTTAAAAAAAGCATAGTCCGGGCCGGCGCCGCAGCTCACTAGGCTAATCCTCCGCCTTGCGGCGCCAGCACACCGGGTTCTAGTCCCGGTTGGGGTGCTGGATTCTGTCCTGGTTGCCCCTCTTCCAGGCCAGCTCTCTGCTGTGGCCAGGGAGTGCAGTGGAGGATGGCCCAAGTGCTTGGGCCCTGCACCCCATGGGAGACCAGGAGAAGCACCTGGCTCCTGCCTTTGGATCAGCGCGGTGCGCCAGCCGCAGCGTGCCGGCCGCAGTGGCCATTGGCGGGTGAACCAATGGCAAAGGAAGACCTTTCTCTCTGTCTCTCTCACTGTCCACTCTGCCTGTCAAAAAAAAAAAAAAAAAAGCATAGTCCGTATTCAAATTTGCTGCTTCCTAGTAACATCCTTCCTAGGAGTTCATGTTTTAAAGTTTAGTTGGGAACATTCATTGTATTTTTGTTGTTGTTGTTAAGATTTATTTATTTGAAAGGCAGGGTTACAGAGAGGCAGAGGCAAAGAGGTCTTCCATGTGCTGATTCACTCTCCAAATGGCTGCAGTGGCCGGAGCTGGGCCGATCCAAAGCCAGGGGCTTCTTCCAGGTCTCCCACATGGGTTCAGAGGCCCAAGCACTTGGGCCATCTGCTGCTGCTTTCCCAGGCCATAACAGAAAGCAGGATTGAAAGTGGAGCAGCTGGGACTTGAACCAGTGCCCATATGGGATGTGGGCACTGCAGGCAGCAGCTTCCTACCCACTACACCACAACGCTGACCTCATTTTTTTTTTTAATGACTTATTTTTATTTGAAAAGTAGAGTTACAGAGAGGGAGGGAGAGACAAGAGACCTTTGATCTTTGATTAATCCTCAAATGGCTGCAATGGCCAGGCAGGGTCAGCCTAAAGCTATGAGCCTGCAACTCCATCTGAGTCTCCCAAAGATAGCAGGCCCCAAGCACTTGAGCTACCTGCTGCCTTCCCAGACACATTAGCAGGGAGCTGGACAGGAAGCAGAGCAACCAGAACTCAAGCAGTGCTCCTAAGAGATGCAGCATCTCAGCTGGCAGCTTCACCTGCTGCACCACACTGCCAGCCCCCCCCCCCCCATCCTCTTAAGATGTGTTTATTTGAGGGGCCGGAGCTGTGGAGCTGTGCACAGTGGGTAAAGCCGCCGCCTGCAGTGCCAGCATCCCATGTGGGTGCTACATTTCTGATCCAGCTCTCTGCTGTGGCCTGGAAAAACAGTAGAAGATGGCCCAAGTCCTTGGCTCCTGCACCCACATGGGAGACCATGAAGAAGCTCCTAGCTCCTGGCTTCAGATCAGCCCAGCTCCAGCTGCTGTGGCCATCTGGGGAGTGAACCAATGGATGGGAGAGCTCTCTCTCTCGCTCGCTCGTTCTTTCTTTCTTTCTTTCTTTCTTTCTTTCTTTCTTTCTTTCTTTCTTTCTTTCTCTCTTTCTTTCTCTCTTTCTTTCTCTCTTTCTTTCTCTCTTTCTCTCTTTCTCTCTTTCTCTCTTTCTCTCTCTCTGCCTCTCTGTAACTCTGCCTTTCAAATAAATAAATAAATCTTAAAAAAACAAAACAAAACAAAAACAAGATGTGTTTATTTGAAAGCCAGAAGCCGGGGGGGCGGGGGGGAGAACACTTCCACTGCTGGCTCATGTGCCGAATGGCTGCAACAGCCAGGGCTGAGACAGGCCAAAGACAGCAGCCTGGAACACGGTCTCCAGGGCTGCCACATGGGTGCCGGGGCCCAAGCACCTGGGCCGCCGTCTACTGCCTTCTCAGGTGCAGCGCTGAGATTCAAAAGGGCACTCCATATGGGGTGCTGGCATTGCAAGTGGCGACTTAACCTCCTGTGTCACAATACTGACCCCATTCATTTCTCTTAATTGCCACATCTCGAGTCTCCTTCAGGTTTGGGGAGCTCTCCCTCCTTTATTTTTTGGTCTCATGACATTTTTGAAGCAAGTTTGCATCACGTCGGGAAGCTTACGATGTCCTGTTCTTGGTGGTGGTAGCATTGAGAACTTGGCTTAGGTAGTCTCATATTTCTGCAAGGTAAAGTGCTTTTTTTCCATTGTAATTAAAAAGCAATCTATATCGATGCCATGTCCTCCAGCAAATTTTCACCAATGATTTTAATGCTTATTAATCCTGCCTAAATCACTTATTACTGTGAAGTTTGTAACATGTCATTGTTCTGACTTTATCATTTATTCTATATTTATTGATGTTCTATAAAGATCTTTTTCTCCATTTATTTGCTTATGATTTTTATGTCCTGATTTTTTTCTATTGACACTTAACAACACTCCATCAGATTGTTTAATTCAATTTGTTATATCCATTTCTGTCATTATCCTGGAAATGTTTTGTTGAGGTATCATTTACATGCAGTAAAATGCACAGATCACAAAGCACGTAGCTTGACGGATGTTTTCATGTGACTACACCCAGGGGAATGGGACGTTCGTTGCACATGCAAAGGCTCCCGTATGGCCCTTGCTCATTTTGCCCCTGACTTTGACCGGCGGAAACCTCTTCAGCCTCATCTTTCTTGCCTTTATGGAGTAAGTTGTTCCTCACTAAACCCGTACATCCCCCCCTGCAGCCTGGGAATTGGTCCCTTCTCCCGAGGACACCTGGTCCCATTATACGGAACTGTTTAGGAATCAGGCCCAGAGGCAGAGTATGCCTAACTCCCCCTATTTACAATGTTCTTAAGCACTCCAGTTTCAGTCAGCCATAGTGTTCTTCCTTTCCTCGTTCCACATTCGCACAGCTGGCTCCCAACTACAGCAATTTCTTTAACTTATTCCATTTTCAAATCATTACCACATTATACTACCAAACGACACCCTTAAGTTAGGTCAGGATTTCTGTGCAGTTCCTTTGCCTCCAGACTGAAGGTATAAAGTCAAAGGACTCCAAAAAGTTGCTTGGATTCATGTTTCTCCCCTTATGTAGCTGTGATCCCAATGTGACATTTTTTTTTCTTCTTTAAAGATTTATTTATTTGAAAGAGAGAGGTGGAGACATAGAGGTCTTCCATCCACTGGTTCACTCCCCAAATGGCCTCAACAGCTGGAGCTGAGCCGATCCAAAGGCAGGAGCTCATTCTGGGTCTCCCATGCGGGTGCAGGGGTTCAAGCACTTGGGCCATCTTCTGCTCTCCCAGGCTACAGCAGGGAGCTGGATCGGAAGTGGAGCAGCCAGGACTCGAACCGGCACCCATATGGGATGCTGGCACTGCAGGCGGTGGCTTTACCTGCTACGCCACAGCGCCGGCCCCCCAATATGACATTTCTAACACAGTTGTTGGAGGATGAAGTCGTTGTTTGCCTTTTGCTGGAACATAACCTCCACAGGGGCTTGTTTTTCACGCCGCGAGTCTAGGACACCCCCCACCACCACCAGGTCTTCCACACTCAAATGTTTGTTGAATGAGTAAGTGAATGCCAGGGCTGAGCTGGCTTCCTATGTCAAACTTACTGAGTCTCTCGTGGGAGAATCTCAGCTCGGTGGGCTCAGAACAGCACGACAGCCCCCCTCCCAGGGCTCTGGGAGCCGCTGGACGGCAGGGAGTGTGAGGTCCCGGTGGTAATCAGAAGGGGTGAATGGCCAGAGGACCGAACGGCCGAACAGGTCTCAAAGCTGCGCGCATCCAAGTTTAAGGGCTGGACTCCGCCTTTAAAGAGCCGGATCCTGACAGGGACGCTGACAGGAGGCTGGCGGCGCACCGAGGTCCAGCTCCGCACCTGCCCAGGCGTCAGATTCCCGGTGAGCCTAACTTCCGGGTCCTGCTCCAGGCCTCCGACGCCACTTAACAACAAGCTCCGCCCTCTGCTACTTTCCGCAGATACCGTGCGCTGATTGGCCGTACCCGGAGCTCCGCCCAACGTCGCGCGGTAGGTAACTTCGAGCGCCAATGCCTGCCCCAGCCCCGGGGCTCACGGCTTCCTATTGGACTAGCAGCTTCCAATCGGAAGGGTTCCTGAAGATCTGTCTTCGGGCGGCACCGGCCATTGGCCAATAGGATGGGGGCGTAGTTCAGCGAGTCGCCGGCGCCGCCAGTGGGTAAAGTAAGGGACCCGGCGACCGGACAGCCTCGCGTCGACCCCCCCGGCCCGTCTGCCCGCCCCCGCGGGTGAGCCTGGCCGAGACCCCGCGCCCCTCCGAGCGCCCGCCAAGTGCGCCTGCGCAGCAACAGCCGCCTGCCCCTGTGCCGCCTCCCCCTTCTCCCTAAGCACCTTCCCTTCCCTTCCCCTCCCCCGTCCCCTGCCCTGCCCGGCCACCCTTCCCGCCCCGTAGGCCCTTCCACGGGGTCGCCCCAGCCCCTGTCCTTCCCCTGCCCCGCCCCCGCCCCCCAGGACCCTGGCGCCCCAGCCGCAAGGGCTGCGCCTGCGGGAGCCGCGATGTGCGTCGTCTCAGAGCCTGTGGGCCTCCCTGCCCTCCATGCCCTCCGTCTCCTCCGCGCAGGTCTCCTCTTTCAGAATGACGCTGGACGTGGGGCCGGAGGATGAGCTGCCCGACTGGGCCGCGGCCAAGGAGTTCTACCAGAAGTACGACCCTAAGGACGTGATTGGCAGGTGAGGCCGCAGCCGGGGGTCGCGGAGGTCCAGTCTTCAGTGGTCGGAGGACATGGGTGGCTCGGCCTTTCCTGGGTCGGTCCCTGTTTGTTTGTTTGTTTGTTTCCCACAAATTCATCCATTTATGCATTATTATTCTACCACAACCGTGGTAGAAGCCCAAGCTAAGCGTGGGGTTGGTGGAGGTGGAGTGGAACATGGACGCCAACGTTCAGGTTATCAGGCTCGATGGGGGCAGGTCTGCATGAAGTGCCATGGGGGGCAGGAAACCACAGCTTCCCGGAAGGCGTGCTCTTTGGGCTGGGGTCTTGACGTATGAGTAGGAGTTCAGCATGCAGAGACTAGAAGGAAGTTGTCGTGGTGGCAGTGGCAGATACACCGATTCATCCAGGGTTCCCTAAGCCGGGTCTCTTGTGTTAGGCAGTGGGAACACAAGACCGGTAAAGTTTCTGTCCTGGGGTTCATAATGTAGCAGTAGGCAAAGACAGTAAAGACAAAAACAAGATAAAGGTCAGCGTAGTGCTAGGGGGAAAGTAAATGGGGTGATGGAATGAGGGTCATTGATGCAGACCACTGTGGGTAGGGTGATGGGGGGCAGCTCACCAGCTGAGACAGGCGATGTCCCGCAGAGGCAACAGTACCTTCAGTTCAGGTCATGGCTACAGGATCGTAGTGGCTACAGTGTAGGCGGAGTGGGAAAAGGTGGAAGAAGTTAAGTTGCAGGTACCTTGTGGCCTGCGGCAGGTTCACTTGTGGCCCGCCATGCTGGCATCCCACAGGGGAACACCGGTTTGAGTCCCAGCTGCTCAGCTTCAGATCCAGCTCCCTGTGGGTGCGCCTGGGAAAGCAGCAAAGGATGGTCCAAGCACTTGGGTCCTCGCCACCCACGTGGGAGACCCGGATGGAGTTGCGGGCTCCTAGCTTTGGCCTGGCTCAGCCCTGGGTGTGGCAGCTATTTGGGGAGAGAAACAGTGGATGAAGGATCTTTCTCCCCACACCTCACCTCTGCCTTTCGCATAAGTAAATATTGTATTAAAATATTTTATTTATTTGTTTGAGAGGCAGAGTTACAGGCAGAGAGGGAGAGACAGAGAGAGAGGTCTTCCATCTGCTGGTTCACTCCGCAAATGGCCACAGCGGCCAGCCCTGGGCTGATCCGAAGCATGGAGCCAAGAGCTTCTTCTGGATGTTATTGACCCAAATAGCACCCCAAGCTGCCCCGGGATGGCAGGAGTGGAGGTCTGGGGGCTGAGCCCTGCCTAACAAGGGTATTGGACGGGGGCAGGGCTTTTGATGTGCAAAAGCTGTTCTGCCTCTGAGGCTGGGGCTACAGTTCTCCCCTCATTCAACCACACAGAACGTGGCGCCACCTTTGTTCTTCAGCCGCTCTCCCCTGTGCAGGCGTACAGGCGGATGTCCTGCCTCGCGCATCAGCCCTTGCCCTTCTATTGTTTCCCTCTTGTTTTCCTATTTTTTAAAAAGATTTGTTTATTCATTTGAAAGGCAGATTTACAGAGAGGCAGAGGCAGAGAGAGAGAAAGGTTTTCTATCCACTGATTCACTCCCCAAATGGCCACAATGGCTGGAGCTGGGCCAATCCAAAGCCAGGAGCCAGGAGCTTCTTCCCGGTCTCCCACGTGGGTGCAGGGGCCCAAGGACTTGGACCATCTTCTACTGCTTTCCCAGGCCACAGCAGAGAGCTGGATCGGAAGTGGAGCAGCTGGGGCTCGAAGCTGGGGCAGCTCCAGATCCTAATCAGCTGGATCTGAAGCTGCCTGTGGCACCACAGGCAGCAGCTTTACCCGTTATGCCACAGCACTGGCCCCTCTTTATTATTTTAAAGATTTATTTATTTGAAAGAGTTCCAGAGAGAGAAGAGACGGGAGAGACAGAGAGAGAAATCTTCCATCTGTTGGTTCACTCCCCATGTGGCTGCAATCGCTGGGCCGGGGTCAGGCTGAAGCCAGGAGCCTGGAATTCCATCCGGGTCTCCCATGCAGGTGGCAGGGACCCAAGCATTCTGGCTGTCTTCCACTGTTTTCCACCAGACACGTTAGCTGCGAGCTGGATCAGATGTGGAGCAGAGGGGCCGGTGCTGTGGGCATAGCAGGTAAAGCCACTGTCTGCAGCGCTTGGGCACTGGTTCAAGTCCTTGCTGCTTCACTTCCAGTCCAGCTCCCTGCTAATGCACCTGGGAAAGCAGTGGAAGATGGCCCAAGTGCTTGAACCCTGTATCAACATGAGAGACCGGGAAGAAGCTCCTGGCTCCTGGCTTCGGATTGGCCCAGCTCCAGCCATTGTGGCCATTTGGGGAGTGAACCAGTAGATGGAAGATCTCTCTCTTTCCCTCTCTCTTTCTCTCTGCCTTTCAGATAAATAAATAAATCTTTAAAAAGAACAACAACAACAACAACAAAAAGAGAAGTGGAGCAGCTGGGACTGGAACCAGTGCTCATATGAGATGCACCTCATGCTAGCCCCTCCCTCTTATTATTCCTGCATTGTAAGTTAGTTGCACATTTTCATTAAATTCCTTCCCCAGATTACCAGTTTCTTCATGGATAAAGGCTTGACGCTTTCAAAGAACTTGGCCGAGTTCTCTAGAAATTGCTGGCAGATTCTAAGTCACTCAAGCAAAGATGGAATGGCAGTGCTGTAGCCAGAGATGTGGCTGGAAAGAGGGTGACAGTTTAGTGAAGGCACTGGGATTTTATTTTTATCTTGTAGGTAATGTGGAGGTAGTATGGAAGAAAACAAGAATTTTTTTTTAAGATTTATTTATTTATTTGAAAGTCAGAGTTATACAGAGAGAGAGAGAGAGAGAGAGAGAGAGAGGTCTTCCATCCTCTGGGTCACTCCCCAATTGGCTGCAACAGCTGGAGCTGTGCCAATCCAAAGCCAGGAACCAGGAGCTTCTTCCAGGTTTCCCATGTGGGTGCAGGGGCCCAAGCACTTGGGCCATCTTCCACTTCTTTCCCAGGCCATGGCAGAGAGCTGGATTGGAAGTGGAGCAGCCGGGACTCGAAGTGGCGCCCATATGGGATGCCGGCACTGCAGGCGGCAGCTTCACCTGTTATGCCACAGCACCGGCCCCGAAAACAAGAATTTTGGGTGCATCCTACAAGTAACTGTCAGATTGGAAGTACAAAGCGTGGTTCAAAAAGAGGACACCTAACCTAGGGCTCCTGCTGAGGAATGAGGGAACAGCTAGAGCCTGGCAGAGAAGTTAAGTTGGGCCGTGTTTAAACAGCCAGGGACGCGATCTGGGCCGTGTCCTACAGAGGAAGCTCTAGAGGCACTGGACAGGTGGGTCGCGTGGGCTGCGACCCGAGAGGAGGCTGTTGCCCTACGCCGAGGCAGGGGCTGCCGGCAGAGCACCGGCATGAGAGGGAGCTGCACTGTGAGAGAGAGGATGGAAGGTTTCTGGTCTGACCCGACAGCAGCACCTTGCTGAGAGGAGCAGAGAGGAGCTGGCTTCCAGCGAGGGCGAGGTGTTCCGTGGTCAGAGCGCGGGGGAGAGGTCTCTCGGACCGTGGGGAAGCGATGGCCCCAGGAGAGGTCTCTCGGACCGTGGGGAAGCGATGGCCCCAGGAAGAATGGTCGGCCTGACACTTAGGGGAGACACCCGGGCTTGAAGGTGGGAGTCATGGAGGTGCAGAGGATCTCTGAGGCGAGCAGGGGTGGCCCGGAAACGGCCGAGCGTGGAACTCTGGGAAGTCTGACATTGAGAACACGGCAGCAGCGTGGCCCAGTGGAAAGAATTTGGGCTTTGACTCCAAAACCTTGGGTTTCCCTCACAGACGGTCTTGGTGCTCTGATGGCCAAAACGCTGTGGGGTGGCAGAGGAGGGAGCGGCCCCTTCCTGTTACACGAGAGTTGGTGCAAGGAGCATTTCGGTTGAGCCTTAAAGCAAGGATTCTTAGCTTCCTGCCTTCAGGAGGTCTTCAAATGGCCCAGAATGTTAGACGTGTGTATGTGCTAGAGGGGTCCAGCTTTGACCAGGTTCTGAAAGTGGCTCACTAAAGAGGACTAACGGGACCCAGCACAGTGGCGCGGTAGCTGAGCCGCCACCTACAAGGCCAGCGCTGCTCCGATCCAGCTCCCTGCGAATGCGCGGGGGAAGGCAGCGAAGATGTCTGAGCGCTTGGGCCCCTGCCATCCATAGGGCAGACCCAGATGGAGGTCCTGACTCCTGGCTTCAGCCTGGTCCAGCCCCAGCCTTTGCAGCCATTTGGGGAATGAACCAATGGATAGAAGATTGTGTGTCTCCCTCTCTTTCTCTATCACTCTGTTTTTTTGTTGTTGTTGTTTTTTGTTTTGTAAGATTTATTTATTTAGTTGAAAGTCTGAGTTACACAGAGAGAGAAGGAGAGGCAGAGAGAGAGAGAGAAAGTCTTCCATCCTCTGGTTCACTCCCTGATTGCTGCAACAGCTGGAGCTGCACCGATCTGAAGCCAGGAGCCAGGAGCTTCTTCCTGGTCTCCCACGCAGGTGCAGGGGCCCAAGGACTTGGGCCATCTTCTACTGCTTATGGCCATAGCAGAGAGCTGGATTGGAAGTGGAGCAGCCAGGACATGAAGCAGCACCCATATGAGATGCAGGCGGCGGCTTTACCCACTATACCACAGCGCCAGCCCCATTTATTACTCTTTCAAATAAATAAAATCTTAAAGAGGAAAAAAAAGTGACTAATAAGTGGACCATGGGTCTCAAACTCAGATACCTTTAATGGTTGGATAGGAAATTAAAACTGTAAAGTAGCCAGATAAGATCGAGGAAAACAGTCTTTTTGGCAGTGGCTGGTGGGTTATTGGCCTATCTAGGTTGTGTGAATTATGGGACCTGTAGAACCTCAGTGCTGGCCACAAGGTAGCACACCTGTGGGCTGTGCCGGTCCCAGGGACCACCCAGCTCACCAGAGCAGTGGATAACAGAATTCCGGACCGAGGGAATATGGGAGTGAGGCCAAGGAGGCCTGGCAGAGCGCAGCATTAAGAGTGTGGTTTGGATGGCCAGTGTCGTGTCCAGGGGCTTAAGCCCCTGCTGGCGACACTGGCAGTCCCATCTCAGAGTGCCAGTTTGAGTCTTGTCTGCCTCACGTCCCATCCAGCTTCCTGTTCATGTTTCTTGGCAGGCATCAGAAGATGGCCCGAGCACCTGGGCTCCTGCCATCCATGCGGCAGATCCTGACGGAGACTCAGCCCCTGGCTGCTGTGGCCACTTGGGGAGCAAACCAGCAGGTGGAAGAGCTCTGTCCCTGGTGCTCCTTCCCTTGCTCAGGCTCTCTGAAGATTTTATTTTTATTTATTTGAAAGTCAGAAATCGAGAGATCTTGAGATCTTCTATCTGCTGTTTACTCCCCAAATGGCCACAATAGCCAGGGTGGGCCAGACCAAAGCTGGGAGCCAGGAGCTGGCTCCCACGTGGGTGCAGGGGCCCAAGCACTTGGGCCATCCTCCACTGCCTTCCCAGGCCATAGCAGAGAGCTGGATCAGAAGTGGAGCATCCAGAACTCGAACTTGCGCCCATATGGGATGCGCAACTGCCGGTGGAGACTTAACCTTCTACCACAAGCACCGGCCCCATAACTAAAATCTTAATGGAAAAGAAATGTGATTTGGGGCAGAATGTTTTTGTCAGGTCGCATGGAAATGGTGACAGGACCCAGGCAAGGAAATCCCTGTCTAGGAACCTCTCTTAGGAAAGCCAGATAGGCGTTCCTGCCTCGGCCCCGCTCTGCCTTCCGACCCCTTCCAGATGGTCTGGGCACGCTAAGGGGCAGACGTCCTCTGATACCTGCTGGTAAATGTGGGGCCTAAACCAGGTCTGAGGGTCAGCTTTGCTCTTCCAGTCCATGACCACATATTTACTTCGGAAGATTCTGGAATTTAGATGAGTGTTCAGGGAAATGTGAGCTCAACATGGGGAGGGGGACAGGTCCTGGGGCTCAGGGTGGAAAGGACTTCCGAGTCCCACCCCTGCAGCGATGGCAGAGCCTGGATTCCAGCCCCGGGCCCTTTGCCTGCCTTCCCTGTGAGCTCTGTGTCGAACCTGGCTCGGGACCCAGGTTCCCAAGACTACCATGGAGCTAGCGGAGGGCAGGGGACCTTGTCCCGCTGCACAGATGGGTCTGCGAGGCTGGCACCGTGGGCCGGGAGGGTGCTGAGGCTCCCTTCTGTGTGGAAGCGGCAGCGCAAGAGGTCCTCACTGGGCCGTCTCTGGCTCTGGCAGGGGCGTGAGCTCTGTGGTCCGCCGCTGCGTTCATCGAGCTACCGGCAATGAGTTTGCAGTGAAGATCATGGAGGTGACCGCTGAGCGGCTGAGCCCCGAGCAGCTGGAGGAGGTGCGGGAAGCCACACGGCGAGAGACACACATCCTGCGTCAGGTCGCCGGCCACCCCCACATCAGTGAGGCTGCCTTCCCTGCTCCCGTTAGCTGCGCACCCCTCCTCCTGCCAGCCCCACCCACAGCCCCCTCCCCTCCCCAGCCGTGGGGTCGCACTGCCTCCTGTAGCTCTCCTTCCTGCCCAGTGCTGGCCAGCGCTGCCTCAGGGTGGAAGTGGACGAGCACCCGTGACGCGAGTCTGCTCCTTCCCATCTGTCTCTGCCTCTCTGCCTCTCTCCCCAGTCACTCTCATCGATTCCTACGAGTCTTCTAGCTTCATGTTCCTGGTGTTTGACCTGTGAGTATCCACCCGCCCGATTTGAGCCGCCACCTCCCCCTACATCCGTGCAGAGCCCCAGCCTTCCCGCTCAAGGGACTGGAGACAGCCCTGCCGACACCTGCCTCCGCTCCGGCCAGGGCTCTCTGTCCCCCTGGCCGCCTGCCTGACCTTCTCCCCGGGGCCTCGACTGAGACAAGAGGACTAGTTCTCACAACCCAGGGGTCACTGTCCCAGTCCCCTGCCCGTCATGAGGTGTCCCCTGTTCATCGCACACTGTAAAATAACAGGGGACAGAGCTGTTTGAGGAGGAGAGTGGCCCACGATGACCCTTCCTCCCCCACCACCTTGAACCCAGTCTGCTGCACTGTGTCTGTCTCTGCCTGGCTCCTCTCTTTCTGGTCTGTCCGTGTGAATCTGGAAGGCGGGTGTTACGTAACACAACGCAAACCGATCGCAAAGGTGTTTTGAGAAAACAGTGATTGGAACCCCAAAGACATCAGAGGGGCCTCTGGGAAGGGCTTGTGAAGCCTGCCATGCATTTGCTGACCTGAGCTTGTGCTGCAGGCGGAGGGGCAGCAGGCAGCGGCCGCCGCACCCGCTGACAGCGTCCCGAGGACGGATGCAAAGTCTCGATTATAGCTTCCAGTTTTTCCAGACAAGCGAAGGTTCAAAGTCAAATCCTATTCAACCCTTTTGCCACCGTTCAAGTGACATTCCAGTCCATGTTCTCTTTTATTTATTTATTTATTTGACAGAATTAGACAGTGAGAGAGAGAGACAGAGAGAAAGGTCTTCTGTTGGTTCACCCCTCCAAATGGCCGCTACAGCTGGAGCTACGCCGATCCGAAGCCAGGAGCCAGGTGCTTCCTCCTGGTCTCCCATGCGGGTGCAGGGCCCAAGCACTTGGGCCATCCTCCACTGCCTTCCCAGGCCAGAGCAGAGAGCTGGACTGGAAGAGGAGCAACCTGGACTAGAACCTGGCACCTATATGGGATGCCAGCGTCACAGGCGGAGGATTAACCAAGTGAGCCATGGTGCCGGCCACCCCGTTCCATGTTCTAAAATAGAGGCCTTTTGCAGGTATGGTCATTCTCAGATAACCAAGGACCTTCTGCAAATTATTGCCATGAGAAGTCAGTTATTTATTTCAGATATTTCAGCCGCCACGCAGTGGGCCCAGTTGCCCCTGGCACCCGATTCACTCTGACCCCTCGGCTTGTCTGGAGAGGACCCTGTGGCCTCTGGCGTGATGGGTTAAGTGAGCGCTAGCTTCCTTCCTCAGCCCCCACTGTGGGGCGCATCTACCTCTGTGCCCCTCCTGTCCCTTAGGATGCGGAAGGGGGAGCTGTTTGACTACCTCACGGAGAAGGTGGCGCTCTCAGAGAAGGAAGCCAGGTAACAGAGCCCGCAGCCCCTGGGGGAGCAGGGCTGGGCGGGGCGGCGAGGAGCAGAAGAGGAGACCGCGCCTCCCCCAGGTCCATCATGAGGTCTCTGCTGGAAGCAGTGAGCTTTCTCCACGCCAACAACATTGTGCACCGAGACCTGAAGCCCGAGAACATCCTCCTGGATGACAACATGCAGATCCGACTTTCGGACTTCGGGTTCTCCTGCCACTTGGAACCCGGCGAGAAGCTTCGAGGTGAGGGGACCTGGTGTCTACGAGACTCGGGAGGGAGCCCCGGGCCGGGGGCTGGGTGGCTGCATCGGAGTGCGACACCCCGGGTACCAAGGAAAGGGGAGCAGGCGGTGAGCACTTGCCGAGTTCCCTCTGGGTGCAAAGCCTCGTGTGCAACTCAGAGCAGACTTCCTGACCTGGGCAGGATGTGTGCTCACAGCCCCGCTGGGGACGCCAGGAGGAAGGGGCACTGTGTGCACCCGAGGGACACACAGAGCAGGGGCCTCCTGCGCTGAGCCTTGTCCCAGGCGGAGGAAGGAACGGGGCAGGGAGGATGCAGGGTGCCGCTGGGGGGCTTGTCCCGCCTGATGTGTACATTACAGCACTTCCACCTGGGCTGCGGTGTGGTGCGCGGGCTCACCCCGTGTGCACACACCTGCCGCGGCCACGTGTACGGACGTTCATGGCACTTTCACCTGGGCTGCGGTGCGGTGTGCGGGCTCACCCCGTGTGCACACACCTGCCGCGGCCACGTGTACGGACGTTCATGGCACTTCCACCTGGGCTGCGGTGTGGTGCGCGGGCTCACCCCGTGTGCACACACCTGCCGCGGCCACGTGTACGGACGTTCATGGCACTTTCACCTGGGCTGTGGTGCAGTGCGCGGGCTCACCCCGTGTGCACACACCTGCCGCGGCCACGTGTACGGACGTTCATGGCACTTTCCACCTGGGCTGCGGTGCAGTGCGCGGGCTCACCCCGTGTGCACACACCTGCCGCGGCCACGTGTACGGACGTTCATGGCACTTCCACCTGGGGTGTGGTGCGGTGCGCGGGCTCACCCCGTGTGCACACACCTGCCGCGGCCACGTGTACGGACGTTCATGGCACTTCCACCTGGGCTGCGGTGCAGTGCGGTGCGCGGGCTCACCCCGTGTGCACACACCTGCCGCGGCCACGTGTACGGATGTTCATGGCACTTCCACCTGGGCTGCGGTGCAGTGCGGTGCGCGGGCTCACCCCATGTGCACACACCTGCTGCAGCCACGTGTACGGACGTTCATGGCACTTTCCACCTGGGCTGCAGTGCGGTGTGCGGGCTCACCCCGTGTGCACACGCCTGCTGCGGCAGAAACAGTGGGAAAGCTTCAGGTTCAGCCTTCTCCGTATGCTTCCCTCTCCCTCAGTGGCTTTGCACTGGACTTGTTCACGCTTCCTGGCCACACCAGGTATTGCGTAGCCTCCTTTTCTAAATCCTCTCAACAACCAAAGTAGCTGGTACCGTATTTGTATCTCCTTTTATAGAGGGGCTTAGAAGATGACTAAATGATCAAAAGAAAACAAAGAAAAGTGAAATGACTGATGACGCCCCAGGCCGTATGCCAGGAGTTGAACTTGGACTTGGACTAGCTGTGACTGCACATCTTGTGGATGTTGTACTCTTGACTTCCACACGTACTGCTCTCTGCCTTGGTCTAAGTAGTTCAGGTTTCACTTCAAACCTCCTGGTCAGGTCTCCAGCTTTTTGTTCTCGCCTCTCATCCCTGTGTGACACATGTCTTCCTCTATCGTTTTTCATTTGCTTTCTGGAAGGCAGTGCGTCGATTCGCCACTGTGTCTTTTTTATTTTTATTTATTTATTTTTTTGACAGGCAGAGTGGACAGTGAGAGAGAGAGAGAGACAGAGAGAAAGGTCTTCCTTTTGCCATTGGTTCACCCTCCAATGGCCGCTGCAGCCAGCGTGCTACGGCTGGTGCATCACGCTGATCTGATGGCAGGAGCCAGGTGCTTCTCCTGGTCTCCCATGGGGTGCAGGGCCCAAGCACTTGGGCCATCCTCCACTGCACTCCCTGGCCACAGCAGAGAGCTGGCCTGGAAGAGGAGCAACCAGGACAGAATCCGGCGCCCCGACCGGGACTAGAACCCGGTGTGCCGGCGCCGCAGGCAGAGGATTAGCTAGTGAGCTGTGGCGCCGGCCTCGCCACTGTGTCTTAACACGGTGCCTGGGACATGGCAGGCATTCAGTAAATACTTGGTATAGGAAGGAGTCTCCTGAGAGTGACTTTTGGTTGCGGCTGATTGAAGTGTGCCGTGGAACAGAGTTGGGAAGTTGCCGGGATGGAAGAGTTGGCAGCGAGTCTTAGAGGGCTTTGCTGTGGGTACATTCTGGGTGTCATCCTGACACCGTCATGGGGCATGGGGAGGGCTTTGTAACAAGGGGCAGACCTGGTACGTGCCTTAAGAAACCCCCTCATTCTCCACATTGCTCTGGGGTTGAGGGGAGGGGGTTCCACTAGCTGGAGAAGAGATTAGAGCAGGAGGAACAGGTCTGGGCAGAAGGAATGCTGGGAAGACTTAAATGTTGTTTGCATGTAAAAATGAGGTGACGGGTTGTGTGAGGAGTAGGCAGGGTGGCTCGGCGGGATGGCTGGGCCGAACCTTGAAGTCCGTCCCCAAACCAGGTTTTCCACGGAAGGCCACCAGGAGCCCCGGCGGGCATCTGAGTGGTTGTCTGGTATCGGGCCTCGGCAGAAGGCAGGAAGGAGCAGAAAGGGGACACCAAGGGTGCTGGCAGTGGGGAGGCGGCTCCAAGAGGCCTGGTGATCAGGGCCCTGGCAGGAGCTGATGACAGCCCCTCGTTCTCAACCTTCTCTCCCCAGAGCTGTGTGGGACCCCAGGGTACCTGGCTCCCGAGATCCTCAAATGCTCCATGGATGAAACCCACCCAGGCTACGGCAAGGAGGTTGACCTGTGAGTCGCGGGTCCCCCGCCCCTCCCTGGCGCCGTGGGTGTGTGTGGCCGGTCAGCTCAGCCTGCCTGACTCTGCCATCTCGCTCGCAGCTGGGCCTGTGGGGTGATCCTGTTCACACTCCTGGCTGGCTCCCCGCCATTCTGGCACCGGCGGCAGATCCTGATGCTGCGCATGATCATGGAGGGCCAGTACCAGTTCAGCTCGCCTGAGTGGGATGACCGGTCCAACACCGTCAAAGACCTGGTGAGCTGGGGCCCTGAGCGGACGCTGGGGGAGGCCTGGGCCGCCCCTCATGCTCTGGGGTTCCCCCCAGATCTCAAGGCTGCTGCAGGTGGATCCTGACGAGCGCCTGACAGCCGAGCAGGCCCTGCAGCACCCCTTCTTTGAGCGTTGCCAAGGCAGCCAGGCGTGGAGCCTCACGCCCCGCCAGCGGTTCCGGGTAAGCGCTCGTCTGTGGCCCTGTCCCGCGACCTCTCCCCTGTGCTGGTGTCCCCACTGGAGCTCACACTGCCCCCACTCTTGGCAGGTGGCTGTGTGGACCGTGCTGGCTGCGGGACGAGTGGCCTTGAGCGCTCACCGCGTACGACCACTGACCAAGAGTGCCCTGTTGAGGGACCCCTACGCCCTGCGGCCGGTGCGGCGCCTCATTGACAACTGTGCCTTCCGGCTCTACGGGCACTGGGTGAAGAAGGGGGAGCAGCAGAACCGGGCGGCCCTCTTCCAGCACCGGCCGCCGGGGCCATTTCCTGTCCTGGGCCCCGAGGAGGAGGGGGACTCAGCCGGTGTCACCGAGGATGAGACTGCACTGGCGCTGGGCTAGGCCCTCAGCCCCAGGCGATCCGAGGAAGCAGGACTCCCCAGGAAGTCATTCCAGCCCACTGGGCTCTTGGCCTCAGGCCCGCCACTGACCATGCCACTCTGAGAGACTCCAGTCCTGTGCACCTGCCTCGCTGGCCAGGGCTTGGAGAGCAGAGCTGGCGCGGGAAGGAGCTACCGCAAACACCATGCCTGGCCTTGTCAGGGCCACCCATGCTGTGCATGAAATAAAACCGTCTCCACGCAGGGAGAGCAGGCACCCTGTGTGTGGTGTCCGGCTTTGGCAGAGAAGCCCAGAAGGCGCTCAGGAGGGATGGGCAAGGCACGGGGCTGCTCTGGCCTTTATTGCGGGAATCAAAAAAGCTGGGAGCTCACTTAGTTTTATTTTTGCCTTTGCCGGGAGGCGGCTGGAAGGGCCGTTCCAGCATGGTCAGCTTGCTGTTGAGCCTGTCCTCGCTGGCCTTGAGCCGCTCTTCCACCAGCTGTTGGAGCTGCCCCAGCTCCCTGCTCAGCTGGGTCTTAATGTAGGTGCGGAGGACGGAGGCCTGGCCTGCAGGGTTGGCAAGAGGGGGGCAGGTCAGGAGCCATGCTGTGTGGGTGTGGGGGAGCCTCCCCAGTGGGGGCAAACTCCACCCCCACCCCCCAGGGGCCCACGAAGATGGCGCTGCAGCTGGCAGGCAGGAAATGCCAGCCAGCCCCTCTGAGAGACACTGGGGCCGAGTGGCCAAGCTGGACTCGCGGCACTGAAATTCTGATCGCCGCTCAGTAGCTGTGTTATTTCACCTTCCCGCGTGGAATGTGTGGACACAAGTGGCAGCTGTCATTAGGTCCACAGCTTGAAGAGGTGGATTAAATGAATTGGACAGAAAAGACCCAAGACGCGGCATCCTGGCGTACAGAACTGCCAAACGTGCCAGCGCTGTTGCGTAAAGAGCCATCTGGGGCAAAGACCCGACTGGCAGCACAGCCTGAAATCCTGATGTCTCACACCGGTGCGCAGCCACACAACACCCCAACCCCCCCCAGGTCCTCACTGGGCTCTTGCTCTGGCTGGGCCTCTGTCTCCAGCTCCTCCTCCTGCGGGATGGCTGCCTGCTCCTCTGCCTCCTCACTCTCTTTCTCTGCCAGACAAAAGCAAGAAGAGCCTCGCTCGGCCCTGCCCTGGCCCCGCCCTGGCCCTCTCGGGTACCCAACTTACGCTCTGCCCAGAGCTTGGGTGGCTGTAGCCCTATGTAGGTCAAAGATAGATCCAGCCGCACCTGGGCAGAGACGGGAAGAGGAGGCTGTGAGGCCGGGCTGGGGAGAGCAGGGTGGCTTCGCACAGCCCATGGCCGGTACCTGGGGTGTAAAGGCATATTTGTAGAGCTTGAAGTGGCGGAAGTACGTGTTGACCACGTAGTCCGCCACGGCCAGCAGCTGCTCCTCCTTAAAGAGGTCGATGCTGAAGGGGGGCCGCTGTGGGGAGGCTGCAGGTTAGAGCACTGCCCCCTCCCAGAGCCCACGGTGGCCTCCAGGGCTCGACCCCGTGGCGGTGGGCGGGGAGCTGCAGGTTCCGTCCCAAGGCACTGACCCTGATGCCATGGCAGAAGAGGAGACTGCTGAAGTAGCGGTAGCATTCCTCCACGTTGCCCAGGGGGGTTGCTGGTGGGGAGACCGAGAGCAGCAGTGAGAGGCAGCGTCATTTCCCTCAGCCGCTGCTGAGTGAGCAAGCAGCCTCCGAGGGGGCGGGGCTCGGCCAGCAAGCGCCCTGGTCGCCGTGCACTGTTGGGGCGCCGTACAACACAGACGAGGGCCTGCCTCCAGCAGCTTCCATTCTAGTGGAAGCGATGGACAGTGAAGCCAGAAATAGATCAACTGCAGCGATTGCTCAATAGTCTGGAGAGAGGGTGGGAATAAAAGGAGGGGCGGGGAGGCGGCACTCCGAGTACATCTGCATATGTTATTTCTTGGGACAGTCCCAGTGCAATCAGGATTTTCGGCTGAATCCTTCGGTCCCTGATGAAGGAGTAGCTGTAAGGGCTAACAGTAGTAATGGCAGAACAAAGATGCTAGGTGGCAGTGCCCCGCTGTGGTCACTTGTGGCAGCCCAGCCGCTGCCTCTCACCAGTGCAGGCCTTGTGCAGATCCTGGAGCAGGGCACACACCGTGGACGTCTGCTCTAGCGAGAAGCCCTGCTGGCGGCAGAAGATGAGTGCGTGGTGGAAGAGATCGAGGACGATGGCATCCCGCAGGCTCTGCGAAGGCTGGCTTAGCCCCAGCAGCTCAGCCAGCAGCCTGGGTGGGGAGTGAGGACGGCGGGAGCCAGCGTTTCCTCACGTCCTCCCAGCCGCCGCCCCGCCCCAGCCCGGCCCAGCCCGGCCCGTACTGCCTCGTCTCTTCCGTGCTCGCTGTCTTCTCCAGCTGCTGCATGGAGTGGATGTCCAGGTACTTCCTGTCACGGGGAAGAGGGGACGGAGTACTGATGCCTCCTGTCAGAGCGTCAGGTTGTCTGGCAGGAGGCCTGAGGTTGAGGTTTGGCTCTGTCACTAACGTGCACCTTGAGCAAGTCACTTCCCTCTGTGGCCTGGGGTTAGGAAACCTGTGTTCAGCCACAGATGACCTAGGTCAGTGCAGGCCCCACTGTCCCCGTGGCAGCTGCGATATTCTATCCATAGCCTCGGTCCTTGGTGCCTCTTTGCAGCTGGGAGGTTACAAGGCTGTGTGCCCGTCACCGAGTCGTGGCATCTCTGGCCTCAGCCTTCTCCTCCGTGCAATGGGAACGGCGCAGTTGCTGGGTGGGGCTGCTGGGAGGAGGCACCGGAATCCCCACCCCCCAAGCAGTTCGCACTCACCACATGCAGATCCGGGGCTGGGGCAGCGGCGGCTGCGGAGAGAAAGCAGCTTGGGAGGGGAGAGCTGTGCTGTCTGCGGTCCCTAAACCCTGGTCGGTGGCCAGCGCCCAGCGGGCCCGAACGCGCTCTAACTGGCCGCCTCATTTCCAGGTCCGCGTCCAGGCAACGCGGTCGGGGCTGGACTTCGTGGATAACGTTATCCATGAACACATTCACAATCGGGGGCACAAGTCCCCCACCGCTTTTCACCAAGGCAGCCCGGGAAAGTCTAGAACAGGTGGCGCCCCGTCGGAGGGCCCTTCTGTGAGCATTCACGAGCGGACCACTGCGTCTCGCCCTCACCGGGAACAAGTTGGCTGCGGGATCTTCGTCGGCCGCCGCGACCGACTCGGTCGGCACACCCATTTCCATCTGCACCGGATCCACCCCCGGGGCTGAGATCCTTCTGTTCAAGCTCCGGCTGGGGTCGGCTGGACGTCTGGCTGACCGATGCCGTTGCTCCCTCGCGCCGCCGGCGGTCTGGGTCTCCAGCAGCTCTCGCCAAGGCCCGGCCCCCTAGCGACGCTTCAGCCAATCTACACCGGAGAGACGCTGGATGCAGCCAATCCGCCGGAGAGGGCGGCTCCTTCCGCCTCCACGGTGACCGTTGCTAAGGGGCCCTGTGGAAGAAGACATAACGTAGAAAATGCACGCACACGCCAACCAGCGAGGGGGCGTGCGCATGTGTAATAAGTTGCAAGCGCCCACATGGGTGCCGTCTCGCCAAAGTTGGGACCAGCAGGATTGTCCTGAGGGCTGGAAAGTGAGTGCGGTGTCAGTTACCATGGAAACTGTCTACTGGCTAATCGCGGGGAGAAAGAGAGGGCGTTCCGAAAGGAACCCAACCACGCGAGAGGCACGACCCATAGAAACAGGAAATAGAGGAGGTTCGCCACATCCGGCGCGGCTCTGGCGCCTGCGCGCTGCGGCGGGGAGGCCGGTGACGTCCGGTGGGATCCAAGATGGCGGCGCTAGGCTGAGCCTGCCGTCGGTAAGGGTGTCGGGGCCGGCGGGGGCGGGATCCGAGCAGGGTATCTGCGCGGGGGCCGCTCCGGGCTGTGGCGCGCCGGCCGCTCCCACGCCTCTGCTCTGCCTTCTGCAGGGGAAGTGCCGCCTCCGCCCGCCTGACGCCCCTCGGGGGACCCTGCGCCGCTCCCCGTCCCCGCCGCGGCCATGTCCGGGCCCGGCAACAAACGCGCCGCCGGCGACGGGGGCTCGGGGCCCCCGGAGAAGAAGCTGAGCCGCGAGGAGAAGACCACCACCACTCTCATCGAGCCCATTCGGCTCGGGGGCATCTCCTCCACGGTTCGTGGGCTCCTGCCACCGCCCTCAGAGCTGCCACACTGCTGCCTCTTGTGCTTCGCCCAAACCGCCCGAGCTCGTGCTCCCAGCTCCCCGCGCGAAGCCAGGTCCACGTGGAAACCGAGGACACGGTGCCCCGTCTGCCCCTCGCAGATAGGAAATGGGTTGCCAGAGGGCGCTGGCCTCTGAGTCGGAACGGGACGGCGGCAGGAGTAGGCATTTCCCCCTGTGGGCGCCTTGAGTCGCTCTGAATCCCGTTAAGCAGTATGGCCGTCCCCGCCCCCCTCCCGGTTCCTCTCCTGTGTGCGATCCGTTTCCGGGTGGTCAAGCCCCCGTGTTGTGTGTTGGTAGGAGGAGATGGACTTGAAAGTTCTTCAGTTCAAGAACAAGAAACTGGCGGAGCGTTTGGAACAGAGGCAGGCCTGCGAGGACGAGCTCCGCGAGCGGATCGAGAAGCTGGAGAAGCGCCAGGCCACGGACGATGCCACCCTCCTCATCGTCAACCGCTACTGGGCCCAGGTCCATAGCCTTTTCCGCCCTCTGAGACGCGGCCATGCTCCAGCCGCCGCTGTCCCGTTGCCGGCCGGGAAAGGAGCCCAGTGGCCGGCCGCAGCGAGGGAGCCCTAACTTGTGGGTGCTTTCTCCCTTCAGCTGGACGAGACTGTGGAAGCCCTTCTGCGTTGTCACGAGAGCCAGGGCGAGCTGTCTGCAGGAGCGGAGGCGCTTGGGACGCAGGAGGGGCCGCCGCGCGATGGGACCCCTCTCCCAGAGCCAGGGACGTCGGAGCTGAGGGGTAGGGCCAGAGCCCTGGAATCCGGGGTACTGCCGTTCTGGGAAGAGATCTAAAGAGGAGGGGGCTCTGGTACGGGGCCGCTGAGTGTCTTCACCTCCCACTGCCCCGTGGGCAGCAAACGGCTTTGGCATCTGACTCGCTTGGTTCGCAGCGAGTTTATTTTTATGTTTTGCTGCCCGTGAATTTGAAAGTCTTATGTGTTGGCTGTGTGCTTAGCATTGTTCCAGACGCGGAGAAATCAAACAGGGAAGAAGCGGTCATAAGTTACAGTAAGGAAAAAGTATGGAGGCCCCTGAAAGGGACAGTGCATGCATGTGTGTGTGAATGTGTGTGTGCGTGTGTGTGTCTAGATTGCAAAGGTCCCCCTAAGGGACAGATGTGACAGCTCTTGTGGATGTGGTACGGCCTCTTTGAACTTGTGTTGTCTCGTTTGCAAGGTGGCACAGCCGTGCACTGTAGGTTGCGTCCAGGGGCCAGGGGAGTGTTGAAGAACTCAGTCTGGAACTTGGCAGCAGTTAGCGGGGATGTCCGTGACCGTGACCGTGACCCTCCCCCTCCTAAGGGTCTGTCCCTCCCTCCCAGAGCCCTTGCCGGTGCAGCTGCGGCCCCCTCTCAGCGAGCCGGCCTTGGCTTTTGTGGTGGCCTTGGGTGCCAGCAGCAGTGAGGAGGTGGAGCTGCAGCTGCAGGGCCGGATGGAGTTCTCCAAGGCAGCCGTGTCGCGGGTGGTGGAGGCCTCAGACCGTCTGCAGCGCCGAGTGGAGGAACTGTGTCAGCGGGTGTATGGCCGAGGTTGGTTTGCCGTGGCCCACCCCACAGCTGTCCCTCCCCACCTGTATCTCTATGCGACCCCACGCCCCCAGCCCACGGGCCGCCAGAAGTCCACAAGGAACAGATCAGCCGTGTTTTCAGGAAAAAGGGTTAGGTTGCCGGTGGGGGTTTCAGTTTGATTCTTGCAGTTAAACCCTCAAGAGCTGGGCTGGAGGAGAGGGTGGTGGTTGGCAGCCCCCTTTCAGCTGGAGACCTCTCTGAGTCCTTGTCCAAACCTCAGTGGCCGTTGGCTGATCCACACAGCGCAGCTGCAAATGTCCGCGCTCGGCAGGTTGACAGGCTCCTCCCAGCCTTAGTTTTGTCGCCCTAGCCTGGGTGTTCTGGGCAAATGACTGCCCTTTCTGAGCTGGTTTCTTCCTCTGGCGAGCGGGCATAAAGACTCTGTCGTAGGAAGTTGGCAAGACAGCTGGTGGATCATGCTGGGCACATGGGAGGCTCCAGATGCGTTAGTGCTTTGCCCCCTTGCGCTGGGCTTGGCTTTTACCGGGGCCCTGCTTTCCCAGGGGACAGTGAGCCCCCCAGTGAAGTGGCTCGGGCTCGCACCCGGGAGCTAGGCCGGGAGAACCGGAGGCTGCAGGACTTGGCCACGCAGCTGCAGGAGAAGCACCACCGCATCTCGCTGGAGGTGGGTGTTGGAGCTGGGCTCTTGGTTGGGATGACAAGCGTGGCTGGGTTCCGGTAAGGGTGGGGGGCGGGGCCACCCATCTGCCTCCTCCCACACCCCCCAGTACTCCGAGCTCCAGGATAAAGTGACGTCGGCAGAGACCAAGGTGCTGGAGATGGAGACGACGGTGGAGGACCTGCAGTGGGACATCGAGAAGCTGCGCAAGCGAGAGCAGAAGCTCAATAAGCACCTGGCGGAGGCCTTGGAGCAGGTAGCCGGGCTGCTGGGCCGTCAGCGCCGCGGCTGGGCACCGGGGGCCCTGGGTCCTGCATTCACGCCGGTCATCTCTGTGCCCGTCGCAGCTCAACTCCGGCTACTACGTGTCTGGGAGCTCGTCGGGTTTCCAGGGGGGCCAGATCACGCTCAGCATGCAAAAGGTGAGCCGCGCTGGCCCTGCCGGCCTCCCGGAAGTCCCTGCAGCAGGGAGGAGAAGCCTCGCTCCCCCCGAGGCCTTGCCCCGCCACTCCTGCCACTCTGTCAGTCGTCAGGGGATGGTTCCCGAACACTGCGTACTGGGGACCCAGGCACATTGCAGAGAATAAGAGTGAAGGTTCTGTTTGGGTAAAGAAATAAGCCCCACGAGGAAAAAGCCCAGGAAAGACAGCAGGGGGAGTCCACGCTAGCGCTCCTGCATTTCGGGAATGCCTCCCTGTCTTCCTGTCGGTTAAGCGCCTTAGCGGACAGTGTTCCGTGCTCCCCTGAGATGTTAAGTGTTCTGCCTTGCCTTGGGCACCTGCCTTGGGCACCCCTAGGCAGGTCCCCGGTGTGGGGCCTCAGAATCTGTCCCTGCCGCTCGGGTGGGGCGTGGGTGTGATGTGAGTGGAGCCTGCTGCCTGACTCAGCCCTGCCCGCCATGCCCCTCTTGCCCCTTAGTTTGAGATGCTAAACGCAGAGTTGGAGGAGAACCAGGAGTTGGCCAACAGCCGCATGGCGGAGCTGGAGAAGCTGCAGGCGGAACTTCAGGGGGCTGTGCGGACCAATGAGCGCCTCAAGGTGAACTGGGGTAGGGCGGGGGCTGAGGGGGGCCTGGGCCTGCAGAGTCCCTGTACTGAGCCCTGCTTTGGGCCTCCGTGCACCCAGGTGGCCCTGCGGAGCCTCCCAGAGGAGGTGGTGCGGGAGACAGGGGAGTACCGGCTGCTGCAGGCCCAGTTCTCGCTGCTGTACAACGAGTCTCTGCAAGTGAAGACGCAGCTGGACGAGGCCCGGGGGCTGCTGCTGGCCACCAAGAACTCCCACCTGAGGCACATTGAGCACATGGAGGTGGGGCCCTGGAACAGGCCTGGGGGCTGCGCTACTAGGACTCGGGGGTTCCCTGTGCCTGCCCAGGGGTCGTATGGGTCCTAATGCCTTCACCCCGCACAGAGCGACGAGCTGGGGCTGCAGAAAAAGCTGCGCACGGAGGTCATCCAGCTGGAGGACACGCTGGCCCAGGTGCGCAAGGAGTACGAGATGCTGCGCATCGAGTTTGAGCAGAACCTGGCGGCCAACGAGCAGGCAGGTCGGTGGTGCACACGGGGCGGAGCGGGGCCTCCTGGGGTAGGGCTGCTGTTACCCAGATGTCCATCACAGAGCCCCAGCCTCCTCTGCAGAGCGGGGCCGGCACCGCCTGGCCACAGCCAGCAGAAGTGGCTGCCACAGCACGTGTAGCCGCGACAGGTGCTGTCAGTCCTGTCTGTGCCGCCCTGGCTTCTGGCGTCTTCTGTCAGATGCTCATTTTATAACGGTCGCTGAATGCCACCCACGAGCCAGGCCCTGTCTAGGCCTTGGGTTGTGCTAGTGAGCAGAATAGTTCCCCACGTCTGTTGTGGCACGCTGTTGTCATAGGGGAAGACAGCCAGAGGGTGGGTGTTAGCCAGGGAGAACACGCCAACGAGGAGGGAGGAAGGTTCTCTCAGGAGATGCCAGGAGGAGGTGCGTTGCCTGGAAGAGGCCTGGGCAGTGTAACTGACACAGGGCCCCTCGTGCTGAAAGGGCAGCCGCTGCCTTCTGTGAATTGTGTGGTTAGCAATTGCATCAAAGGAAGTTTGGAGCTATTTAGAAACCTCCATTAGCAAATGTAACAGGTCGGCAGTGCCAGGTTACTCCTGGGTGGGTTTCCTTTGGTGAGGTCATGTGCTGTGTAACCCACCCCACCCCTTGCACAGTGGCCCTGGTGGCTCTGGCTCCACCTCCTCCCCCACTGAGGGGTTGGGATCCCGACCCGGGACCAGCCTGACACTCTTGACCCTGAC